GGTTTGGTGTTTTGGTTTAGCTAAATTGACCAATTTAAAGTTGACCAGAAAGATATTTGTCTGTGTTTTATTGACTATGCAAAGACATTTGACTGTGTGAATCATAACAAAATATGGATAACATTGAGAGAATGGGAATTCCAGAACACTTAATTGTGCTCATGAGGAACCTGTACATAGACCAGAACAAGATTTTAAACTGAATGGTTTAAAATCAGGAAGGAAGTGTGTTAGGGTTGTATCCTTTCACCATACTTATTCAATCTGTATGCTGAGCAAATAATCCAAGAAGCTGGACTATATGAACAAGAGTACGGCATCAGGATTAGAGGAAGACTCTTTAACAACCTATGATGTGCACATGACACAATCTTGCTTGCTGAAAGTGAAGAAGACTTGAAGCACTTACTGATGAAGATTGAAGATATACCTTTCAGTTTGGATTACACCTCAACATAAAACGATCCTCACAACTGGACCAATAAGCAACATCATGATAAATGGAGAAAAGATTGAAGTTGTCAGGGATTTCATTTTACTTGGATCCATAATTAATGTCCATGGAAGCAGCAGTCAAGAAATCAGACGATGTATTGCACTGGGCCAATCTGCTGCAGAAGACCTCTTTAAAGTGTTGAAGACTAAGGTGCCCCTAACCCAAGCAATGGTATTTTCAGTTACCTCATATGCTTGTGAAAGCTGGACAATGAATAAGGAGGAATGAAGAAGAGTTGATGCATTTGAATTGTGTGTTGGTGAAGAATTTTGAAGACACCAATGGAATGCCAGCAGAGCAAACCAAACTGTCTTGGAAGAAGTGAAGCCAGAATATTCCTTACAAATGAGAATGGCCAGACTTTGTCTCACGTACTCTGGTCATTTTGTCAGAAGGGACCGGTTCCTGAAGAAGGACATCATGCTTGGTAAAGCAGAAGTTCAGTGAAAAAGAAGACCCTCCAAGAGATGGACTGACAGAGCGGCTGCAACAACGGGCTCAAGCATGGCAAGGACCCTGAGGCTGGCACAGGACGGGCAGGGCTTCCTTCTGTTGTATGTGGGGTTGCTGTGAGTCAGAGCCAACTTGATGGCACCTAGCAACAACAACATTCCTAGTTTATGGAGTGATTTTATCACAAGGGGCTATCGGATTTAGTCAAATGCCTTTCCTGTACCTATTATG